TTTACGAATTGCGAAATACGTTCTGTTTGCGTTCTGATTGGTCGACAATTGGTCGAATTGCAAGACAAACAGAACGCATTTCGCAATTCGTAAATCGCAATTTGCAAGTGCATGAACTAGGCTTAACGGTGACATCTCTTGTTGGAACGCAAAAGTTATCGTTCACTAAACGATCCTCTCGTGGTTGAAACGCTTTTTCTTCACTGCGCAGAAGCGTTACCGTACATAGTACGGTTCTCTTCGTCGTTGGAACGAAACTTTAAATTTTGGTTTATCAGTACCGTTCTAATTTTATTCAAAACGTGTAAAAATATGATGTAGGGTAGATTTAATAATTCGTTGTTTTATTTTACGTTGTCCATAAATGTTGGTGGTTATTAAAGTTGTTATTTATAATTCTAGTAAATATAGATAAGTTATAAGAATTATTTATTAATAAGAACATCCGATACGCTAATGAAGCAGGTAAGTCATATTGACGTAAAAAGCAAACATGCAAGAAAAAATATATACCTAATTAGATAATTTTAAGTAAATTTTATAAATGATCTGTTTACTGCACGTATGTATATTATAAACTCACTTACTAGCGAAAAGTTACTCCACTATTTCCCTCGATTATTGACCGATATCTACCGCACGCTACACAACCATTTTACAGTCTTTTTCGATAAATCGTAATACTGTCACTGTTCATTTAGGTCCTGCCATGAGAGAGATTTCCTTCTAGATTTACTACCTCTAAACAACTACCACTAGTCCAATAAATTAAATAATAAATAACATAAAATAAGCTCAGTCAAGACTGGCAAATCTACAAAATTTGAAATCAAATTCAAAATGTGTCAAATGAATCGTCAAAGAGAACTGTCAAGGATCCCTACCGTAGGCTTAAAACCCCCGTCTACTATGCATGATACATGGATAGCATTTCTTCGATAATCTTTTTATTCAAAGTCTGAGATCAACTAGAAAATTCTTGAGGGTGATAATATAAGTCCGTAGTTATATTATTTATTTTTAAAATTTTGGGATTTTCAGAAAAATAGTTACAAACCTTTGCCATTACCATATTTGATTTCAATTTGAAAATGTATTTTCGTCTAGTTGAATCACCTTTTTTCAATTATTTTAATAAAAATATTTTTTTAAGTTTTGTTTGCATTAAGGATGCTTGTGGAGACCTTATTTTAATATCATGACTAATCCTTGTAGCATCTTGCCATGCCGGTAGCTTTCAATTGGGTTATAATTTATTTCGATTGTAATTAGGAAGTGAAAGGTAACTGTTTCTATATTTACAAGACCCTAATTGTGACAGCATGTTTAAAATTAAATCTGTACCTTAATCTGTCTATGCTAAATAATACCAGGATGTGCGATATTACGTTTTTATGTCCTATTTTTTGCTAGTCATTTGCCACCCGAAATTTGAAAGGATTAGCGGTTAGTACATTTTACTAATTTAGAAGTTTGTTCAAAATAATTCTCAGAAATTTATAATATGAGGAAAATGGAAGCTACTTACGAGAAACTTATGTTAATCTAGCGGTATATGGAATATTAAATTTTCACTAATAGCTAGGTTAAGATCTTAACCCTATTTTACGCCACAAAAAGTACATCAAGCTTTATCAATATATTATTAACTTAACAAAAACTTAAAAGCAACATGTACAAATCTACATGGCTTTAAAACATCTAATTAAATTAATTATTTTTAAATTTTTCAACAACGGAGAAATTGTAGTAGTTAAATATGTAGAGAACTGGGGAAAGCGACCTAGATATTGTAGGTCTCTAGAAACTTCTAATGCACGCTCAGCCTGTGACACCCTGTATATAAAAAAATACCAGAATAGATTAAAATATGTTACATGAAGAAAATAATTTCATATAGTGGCTGAAAAAAAATCGAATTTGGAATGAAATTTATTCTACCAAACAATAATATTCATATAGTAGGGTCAGAATTTCTGGTCTTGGGTTCCGATTTTCGTGTGCACGAAGAGTACGGTCAACATGTGCTTAGTAAAATAAGATATACTGAATAAAGATAAAAGACAGAAATAAAGTATTCTCCCATCAAGCGCATGGAATCTAGCGTTAGATTAAGTGATTATGTAATAAATACTTCTTATTTTTGCTCTCTCCGACTTACTAGATTGCCATAGCGATTCACTCCTATACATGTAAACGCCGACCGAAGGTTTCGCTTGCCAGCAGGGTATATCCCATCAAAAAATATTCGAAAAGTATAAAATAACCGAGGTGGTCGAAAAATTTAACATTTTCAATATCGCCCTGTATTTCAGGAACTAAGAGGGCTACGATAAATATGTGTGCACCCTGCAAAACACGAAGATGGGACACTTTTTACAAATAAAATACGGCCATGTATGTTCGAGGTACTCGGGTGGCGTAGAGGTTCAGGCTCTCGTCTACCAATCTCAAGGTAATGGGTTCGAATCCTACACCTGGCATTTCATCAGCCGACTATTTTTATTAAAATAAAAATAGTTTGAGTACCTAGGTCGACTCAGCCTTAAATGAGTACTTGGGATTCATAATCCTGAGGTAATAATAGGCGGTTGAAGCGTAGTGCTAGCCACATTACCTTCCTTGTATACCGAACGGCTCTAGTATAGCAAGCTGTACCTTGCTACTCCCAAGGCGTTAAATTATAGTATACAGGGTGAGTTTCCTACGATGTTCTCTATGGGTATCTCGGAAACTACTGGCGATAGACAGTCGGTTAAATGGGGAAAGAATTGCAGTTTTATGGGGTCATAAATATTCGCCTTTCAGATTTTTGAAAAAGTTCATGGCTTACTAGATATTTCGAAAAAAATAAATTTCGGCTATTTTAAAAATTGTCTCTAATTCCATTATAAGCTATTTTAGACAAAAAGTTTTCAGATAAAAGTTGTAGATAATCACATCCTTAATGAGACCGTGTTCTCCTTTTTTTCTAAAGCTTGTCATTTTTGATATATGACACAAACATATATTTTTTTAAATGGAAACCATAGTTGGCCATGACTTCATAAAAAGCGCCATTTTTTAAGCTTTTTAGCGATATAAGCTATAATATGTTTTCTTCGAAAAATTACTGAGTTATAGCCAATCCTTATCATTTTTAAACAATTTCACTTAGTTAGCTATGGAAACAAGTTTAATCGTCTTTGCTCTCATAAATGTGAAGCTGTCACATCCAATCTTTGTGTATTAAAATAAACAAAAATTGTAAATATGGATTTATCAAACGAAGAAAAGCGTGTAGGATTATTGGTTCAACCTTTCTTGGCCATACATTTTTGAGGATACGTTGACCGGTGAATGTTACGTTTTTTAGAGAACGGTTTTCAAGACATGTTAGAAATGTTAAATTTAGTTATAGCCAGTTCTTATCTTTCTTGACTAATTTCACTTAGATTGCATGGTATTCTTATTCTGTTATGATTTATAACTTATAAAAAGTCAGAATATATTACTAAACGGTTCTTTATAATTTACATTACACAAACTAAAACTTAAAAAAATAATATCACTACATACACTTTTCAATCATTCATCAATCACTACATACACATTACACATTTTGAATATTAAATATCTTATACCGTGCTGGCAACTGTTACTTTTGGGTCGGCATTTACATGTGTGGAAGTGAATCGCATAGGGATCTTATTAAGTCGGAGTGAGAGAAATGCGACCGACCGACGCGACGTGCGACGGTGTGCTGTTGCGGCGTTGCCGATACGCCTTTCCCTATCAAGTAAAGTAAAATCACGATCGCAAACCGCTTATCTTTAAAAGAGTTTTTTTTCAAGAGATAACTAGATAAAATCATTAGACATGTTTCTAAACATCTGAAATGGAATTATAAGGATATCTTTAAGGTGTCAATTTTTATAACGAGAAAACGTCAGTAATCGCGATAATTTAAAAACTCAAATTTTTAACACATAACAGGCCTACAGGCCATAACTCAAGAACCACTTTAGATATTGAAACTTTTTTTTTATTTTCAAGAACGGATATTTTACAATAAGTTTACATAAGAAAAATTCGATAAGGTTAATTTTTTTCCATTCAAAAATTGTAAACAATCCATCCATTTACATTTAGAGCATAGCAATTTTTAGCAATCGTATAATTTTTTATTGATAAAGATTTTCACATACTGTCTACAAAGAAAATACAGCAGAAATATTAACAAAGTTCTTGAAAAAACTACAATCTATTATTTCTAATAGCGCGACCACTATCGAACACCCACTCAATTCCACTTATTTTGACCAAAAATGCAAGTGTTTCTAGCTTGCCCTTAAAAAAATTCAAGCTATAGGGAAAATTACAACGACTCGTTAATAAATAAACAAATCAAGTATCACGAGACGTAATTAAATCGTGAAGCTGAACGCATGACGTACACTTTTCCCTAGAACTTTAAGTACTGAGAGAGGTATTGATTGTGTCGACCGGTCAACTGCGACAAAAAATCTGCTATATCCCCTTCCACGTCTCTTAGCGATGCGTACAGTTTCTCGGTTTATTTCATACGTTTGGCAACGTGTTTACTGTTCTCTCTTTGTTCAGTACATTATAAACGCATTGTACTCTTCTTACATACGGAAATCTCGACCCAAGGCTAACCTTTGCCAGCCCTTAGTAGATAATGTCGATATTTGCAAGAAAATATTATGAAATTTGATAGCTCTTTGGATAACGAATAAAATGGTGTATAGAACTCAATTTTCAAAAATATGTGACGTCGGGTTTTACATTTAGATGCCTGAAATGGACTCTTTAATGAAAAACATTATCTACTGTAAATTTGGCAGTATGAAAAAATCTCTTGTTGATTTAACACACTTAATGTAACAAATTTCATTTTCATCCAGCACTAGACTGGGCCGTGCATTTTCAGTTGTCCCCGTTTTAAAAATACCCCATCCTATTTATAATCGAACGTTGTTGTGTTTCCGCCTATCCAGAGGAACAAGACGTACAACGGGGAAGAGCTGCCGTACGTATTCGGCGTGCCGGTCGAAGGTCCCAAATTTCATTTCCAAGACGGCTTCTACACAGAAGACGAGAAGAGATTCTCGATGACGGTCATGAGATATTTATGTAACTTCGCCTACACCGGGTATGTCTGATATATTGTGTGTGTTTGTGTTTATATATTTATTTGATGTGGTGATTTTGTTGGTGTATTGACATAATATTGCTACCAGTTTGTCAAATAACCTTATTCTTTCGTGTATTAAACTAACAAATTATGTTTGTGTCACCGGTGAGGAGACGACACATCTAAACTCCTATCTTTACAAGATGTGCTTCTGAAGTCCCAACTAACTCTGGAGCTATCACCAATGATTCAAATATTTTGCAAAACTGTACCAAAGGTTTGTAATTATGACGAAATATCATAAAAGCACATACCTTCAAGGCACAACATTTTTATTTAACTAAAAATACAGGGTGCTACAAATTCGAGGTACGAGCATTGGTATCTCGGAAACCGTAATAGATACGAAGTAACCATCTTCGTATTGGGGCAAAAATGCTCCTTGGATGTTCACCAAGATGCCATCAAAAAGTTTTAAAAATGTCAAGGATTGCTGATTTTTTTGGAAAAACACGGATTTTTTTGAAAATCAATTTTATTTTTTCTTGTCGTTACTTTTTAGAAAATCAAAAAACTAATAGCACATTCTTAGAGCCACTTTATTAGGGCTATCTGATAGTATTTTTAAATTTTCAAATTAGCTGATAATTTGTGAGATACAGAGGCCAACTTAATTTTTTTAAATATGGACCTGCATTTTTTATTTCAGATTTTGAAAGAACTCGCTGTCCTGAGTACAATAATATGCCACACTAGATATTTGTTTTTTGTTTTGGGTACCTTAACAATAACAAAACTATTTAATTATTATTTAAAATAATTTTAAGTCCGACTCTGGTTTTTTTAATTATTTAATCTGACAATATTCATCGCAACAATATTGATCAGCGCTAATTAACATTGAATAAGAAAAATCGAGCCATTTGAAAGATTCAAATAAATAATGTCTAGGTTAGCAATTTAAAGATATTCTTATTAACTCTTTTTATTGTAAATCTCAATGTCTAATCTAATCTAATAATATGCATAATATTAATCGTAGTAATTATAAAAAAATTCACTTTTACAAACTAGTTTCTAATGCTCTACATGTTCGAAAGGGTTACCATCCTCCCTAATGCACAAATTAATTTATTTTTCGTTCAATCTTATTTATAGCTCTTTGAACATATCTTCTTCTATACTTCCGAATGCATTTTGTACTGTTTATTGTAAATGTTGAAATGTATTGATCTCACTTTTACAAATGAAGTCAAGAAATTCCCCCCTCCTCGCTCTTTGGCGACAGATCCAGGAACCTAGCCATTATACTGCTCTACCATTTCAAATCCATCTTCCGGAGAAATAACTTGATTGTTTATATTATATCATATTTATATTATTTTTTATTATTTTGTTGTGTTTGATATTCCTTATTCAATATGTCATGTCATTATTGAGTTGGAAAGCTTCAATCAAGCTTCACAATCAGTATTGTAACGATGAATAGATTAAATATTTAAAAAAAACAGAGCCGGACTTGAAATTAGTTAAAATAAATTGTGTTCAAATGTCCAAAACAGAAAAAAAATATTAAGTGTGGCATATCATTGTACTCAGGAGACAGAGTTCTTTCAAAACCTCAAATACAAAATGCAGGTCCGTATTTAAAAAAATTAAGTTGGCCTGTGCATCTCATAAATTATAAGCTAATTTGAAAATCTAAAAATACTCAGATATCCCTGATAAAGTGGCTATAAGAATGTGCCATTAGTTTTTTGATTTTCTAAATAATAACGTCAGGAAAAAATAAAATTGATTTTCAAAAAAATCCGTTTTTCTCAAAAAACTCAGCATCCTTGAAATTTTTTAAACTTTTTTGATAGCATTGGCAAACATCCCAAGGCGCAACTTTGCCCCAATATAACCACCGTATCTATTACGGTTTCCAAGATACGAGTGCTCGTACCTCGAATTTGTAGCACCCTGTATTTGCATTTTTTACTTTTTCCTTTTTTGTTTTCATTTAATTATTAACAAGTTTTATGTCAGTTTTAAGAAGTCCTTTGTATCTCCAAAAAAGTCCTATGGGTATTCCGCCACTATAAGAAAATTTACAAATTAAAATAGTTATAGAGTAAGATTCCAGAGTGATCAGAAAAAACTTATTTTCACAAGGATGAAACCTTAGGCTCTCACTAGGGCTCTCATGTGCTTTGAATACCAGCGTGTTTGTTGTGTTCACCCTGTGACACCTTTGCAGATACCAGGTGAGAAAAGTAACTAAAAGAAATAAATGAACTTTACTTATTTTTACTTGTCTGATTTTTACATATGTTATTAAGACAGCTTATAAAGTTATATTTAATCAGTCAGACAGATTGTAATGACCAAACATCCTCTAAACACAAAAATTATTCAGCCATGACTATGAGCCCGGGAAAACCTAGTGAAGTATTTAAATATTTTAAAAATACTGCTTTCGATTTAATATTTTTGCATCTCTATTTAAATAAGATTAGTTGTAAAAGTGAAAACAATACATACTTATGGAGCCGATCGACCAACTGTTTGATTGCATGTGAGCGCGGCTCCATAAGAATTATATTGGTTACAAATCTGCAACTAAATAGGCAGCTGACTACAAATTGCATGTCACCCCCAGGCTTATTTTACAATATTTTCTTTTACAGTATACAAACTATTTAAAAACGTATGTCAGAGAATTCAAGGTATCTTGTTTTTCAAATTAATATTTTTTAGAAAATATGCGAATTGTTTTGAGTGGTTTATATGCAATAAATTAATTTACTTTAATAATATAATAAAAAAGCTCATCTTATTTAAATAGAGATGCAAAAATATTAAATCGAAAGCGGTAAGTATTTTTAAAATTTTTAAATACTTTTTTCGGAAGCGCATAGTTTTCCCGCGCTCATAGTCACGGCTAAATAATTTTTGTGTTTGGAGGACGTTTGTTCATTATAATTTGTCTGACTGTAACTGTCTGAATAATTTGTCTAACTGAAATATAACTTTATAATAGCTATCTTAATAATACGGAAGCGCTGAGGGGCCAACTGAGTTCTTTTTATATATGACTATAGTCAGATAACAAATGACTATACTCAGATCATAACTGACTATAGCCAGATAATAAATGACTATAGTCATATAATAAATGACTATAGTTAGATAATAAATGACTATAGTCAGATAATAACTGACTATAGTCAGATAATATTTGTACAGTCTTAGACGCTTCTGGACATGTTAAGCATGCGCAGTATATTTTGCAACAGGTGGTTTTCACGTGGATTTCATTAGATAGCCTCTAAAAAGTAGGCCCGAAATCGCAAACTAAACAGCGCAAGCTTATTCACTTCTTTTGAACAGCTAATGAAATCCACGTGAAAACCACCTGTTGCGAAATATACTGCGCATGCTTAACATATCCAGGAGCGTCTAAAACTGTACAAATATTATCTGACTATAGTCAGTTAATAATCTGACTATAGTCATTTATTATCTGGCTATAGTCAGTTATGATCTGACTATAGTCATTTGTTATCTGACTATAGTCATATATAAAAAGAACTCAGCTGGCCCCTCAGCGCTTCCGTATAATAACATATGTAAAAATCAGACATGTAAAAATAAGTAAAGTTCATTTATTTCTTTTAGTTACCTATATCACCTGGTATCTGCTACAGGGCGAACCCCACAAACACGCCTGTATTCAAAGCACATGAAAGCACTACTGAGAGCCTATGGTTTCATCCTTGTGAAAATAGGTTATGTCCGATCACTCTGTGATATTGGACTATTATTTTTTGCAAAGACTGCTGCGTTAATCCAACGGAGACTAATTGTCAACAGTTAACCAATTTTGCCTAACGAACAAAAAAATGCTTAACACTTCGGGAATTATATCTCTTCCCGTCGTCTGAAGTAAAAAAAACACAAAGAACAAAGAAAAAAAACTGTTTAAAAAACACAAATTCAACTATTCGAAAACACTTTAGTTTTTTTAAAACAGATACGTCTATAAAAGCGTTGACGTTTTGTTACGTTAATGACATTATATCAAGTTAAACTTCAAAAAATAAACGATTACTACATGATAACAATTACTTAATAAGGTAAAACCAAAAAGCTTCAAACTTTCTGTATGGTTATCTTTAATTTGATTTCTATTTTTTAAGTATGTTATGTTCTTTAAAATTAAAGAAGCGTTTGCCATACATTACTAACATCTACAGATGCATGAGCAATACATTTATTTTTATTAGATTGTATTACAAAAGTCTCTTTTAGTTTTCTTTTAGAGGCTATGGCTTCCTTCATTAATGTGTAAGTTATTTGTATTAATATATTTATATGTAAAATAATACCAAACGATCGAAAAAAACAACTGGGGAAAGATAATCGATGATAATTTTGTCGAGGTTAAGCCCTAGACGTCAATTGCTTAGCCTGTATGGCAGATTGTCTTGTAAGAATGTTTCAATTTATTTTTATATTGAGTAAAAATGGCGTAGTTTAAATTCTCTTTTTTTTATTTTAAATGGTGTAGTTTAAGATTCGAAAAATATATTTTTTTGGAAATGGATTTGTGTGTATGGAAACGTTCTATCCTTTCTAAATCCTTCTATAATTGTGATATTTTTGATAAGATTATGCCAATTTTTAATAAATAACATCTAGACTAGATTCACCTCACCAAAATTATCATCCCCAGCCGTCTTTGAAGCCATTTTTCTTCGATCATACAGTACTACCATATACTAAAAATCTACAGCTTAACAGTTACATAACAGGCGTGTTCCAGATATTTTGAGTCAGCTGCCAGTTGTTGAAATTTAAGCAATGCATCAAATCTTTTTATTTATCATTTCTTGCAAGACTTTGTCAGTTGATTGACATTTGTATATATGATTGTAGAAATCCTAACGTACCTAAAAACAACTATCCTGTAATGGAATACGACAGATGGCATCAGTTTGACAAGGAGTGGCTTCCATTTGACGAGAACCAACAGAACTACCTTCAACTAGGTAACCTACTTTGATGTTTATTTTTGGTATATTTATTTAAAAAACTTTTTTTCAGGCATTCCAATTCGTCATGAACAATTCTACCGAAAAGAACAGATGGAGTATTGGAATAACTTATTTCCGAACATTTCTAAACATATATCTTCCAAGAATCCACTACCATGGGTCCACCATTCTGATCGTTTAGAAAATTTTAACAATTTCGACAACTTTAATAAGAGTTTAGATTTCGAATTGGACAAAATCGCACAAATGTTTGGCCCATCAAACAGTAGAGGGCGCGCAAACCAAGACGTTTATGGTAAAGTTATTACTGCCCCACCTGCGCCTCCTGAAGAAGTGAAACAAAGTGTACCGACACTTAGTGTACTACTTGTTGTAGGGGTACTATTTCTGTTTGCAAATTTAATTATATTTGTTTTTCTTTACTATAAATGTATAAAAAACAAGAAGAATCACAGTCAAGTATCACCGGAGGAACACTTATCGGAAGAACAGGACCAGAAAGTAGACTCAAATATTCTTGTTTCTACCTGTAATATGATTAGATTTTGTTCCAAACCTTCGAAAGAGGATGGAGATTATGATGATGTAGATATTGAATCTAAAAATGTATCCAAAAACAAACTTACTAGAGTAGCTTCAAATAGCACCATAGATGCTCACGCTAAAGTAAGAGATTGGATAGCCAGCGAGATAGTTCTTAAATATAGTCCAAAAGAGAAAAGAAAAAATAAGAAAGATAAATCAAAAGTGAAATCTAAGACAAAAACTCAAGAGGTCCCGATACACTTTCCAGTTGAAGAAAATACTTCAATAGATAAATGTCCTACACGACCAGTGAGCCCCATTGAAGAATGCCCTATAACAAAATCACTCTTGATCAAAACTGCCAGTATAGACAGATCAAACCACAGGCGTAGACCTGATAAAGTCTCCGTGGCAATAGATGCTACACCTGCTGGAAGAGGACCCAGTGTTCTTATGCAACAACCCATTGAACTATCCAAATCCGTAGACTATCCTGGTATATCCCCAGGTCCACTAAGACGATCTTTAACCGTTGAAGACTTTTCACCTCGTAGGAAAGAACATTGTGCGGATGATCTCAGAAAAAGCATTACAAGTATTAATTTAAATAACATCGAAACTGAGCCAACGATAATCAGGATAGAGCACGGACATTCTAAGTCAGATCCTGTGCAGGATTTGGATTATCAGGTTATCAAGCGATTGAGAACTTTTGATCCTAATGCCGAAGTGAATGTTACTTCTAGAGATGAAAATATGGAGACAGTTTTACCTCTATCCCCTGAAGAAGCCTTGATGACAATAAAAAGGAGAAATTTTCCTAAAGTTTTACCTGATCATCCAGGAAGAGAGGCGTTTCTTAGTAAACGTCGTTCAATGCCAGTTCATAATATATACGCTCCAATTAATGAAGGCTTCCAGTATTCTAACTCTGAACCATATTCTCCTACAGGTAGGAATTTTATGAGGTTTCCTCCGATGCCTCCTCCCAGGACAACAACTTTAGGAAGACAGGGAAGTAATCCTCAACCAATATGCCTGTCTGAACCAACTTTAGCTGAAGAACCACCGTCATCTCCTGAGCCCGAAGTTGCCTGTAACAACTTGTACGTTGGGCCTCTGATTCCAAAAAACAAACAAGATGCTCAGAAGAGTGTTAAAATTGAAGCTAGATCGATTCCACGAGCTATAATAACAACTAATCCGAATAATCCTATTAAGAGACCTGATCCTAAGGTAATTGTCAAACCAACAATCAACAAAAATAAGAATGATTCGAAATATATACCAAGAGTTGTAGTGCCGGATAACAGACCTGAAATTTATAGCAAACCAAGTAATATAGTAAATAAGGATTTAGGTGAAAGTGTTAATGAAGATGACAGGAAACTGAATGAGGGTGAAGATAGAAGGTTGAAGAAGTCACAAATTCCTACATTGGTAAAGAGTTCGAATGTAAGTTTGAACAAGGATTCTTCTAGTTCGGAATCGAACTCTCCGTCTTCGGAAAGTTCTGATACTGGTACAGTAGTAAAGAAAGTGTACTTGTAGATTATGCGTTAATAAAACCAAATAATATATTAGCCAGAAATCAAAGGAGAATTTTCTAGTTGTGAAATTTCCTGCCTTTGTAAAGTCTTGACATGAACTAAAAGAATATGTATGTGTAGTTTTATATATTGATGAATGTTATAATTACCTACAAATATTTAGGTTACCAAACTGTATAATATTATTTTTAGATTTTAAAATTTTGATATAAAAACACTATATTCTTAGATGTAATACCTTGAGATAGGACATAACAAATCTACCTAGTTAATATAAGTTTCAATATGAGTATTTAATAATGTTAGAAAGGTTTTGGTAGTAGTCAAAAAATAAATATCAGTGATTATTTAATGCTTTTAGTTAGATTGTTATGTATTTAAGACACATTGGTTGAGACGTGGTTAGGAATTGTATATTCAGCCTTTTTTAGGTAATTTATTAATACAGTGCTGCCTAACAGTTTAATAATATTCCAAATATCAACTCTATGTATTTAGTTTTGAAAATAAAACGCAATAAGATATTAATGTAAAAAAGAAATATAAAGATGTACCTGTAAAAGGATTGGTAGTTAATTATTTTTAAAATAATTTTTAAAATATGTATTAAAAAATATAGAATTAAAAGAATAAATAGCTTAGATTAATTTTGATCTCTGTGTAAATATGCTGTAAGATGAGATACTTATTAATAAGTACCTAATAATCTAATTAATTAATTCCCACTTATTATTATTGTTTATAGTAATAATTTATTTATTTATAAGCATATATTTTAGCGTTTTAATTTAGTGTAACAATAGCGAATGATACGGTAATTTTTATTAATTAAAATTATTATAAAAATAGGCTAATTAATGAGGTATTCTAAATATAACAATATGTAATACTATATAAGTACCTATATGTATAAGCATTTTAATTGACTTTAGTTATTAGTAACGTGGTGTCTTATTTTTTTTACTTTGCTATTTTTTCCCAGTCACAAATATCTTTTTGATTTTTCCTACGATTTTCTACAAATTGTATTAATATATCAATTATTCAAAGATACATAAAATGGCTAAACACCTAGTATATATGTCCTGCTTAAATTATATTTGAAATAAATAGAAGGGGAATAAAATATTTTGATAAGCAACAAGACTGATATTTTACATAAATTCGAATACCTATTACATCAACTGTCTTATTTATGATGTAAATATAGATTTATTTATATAGTTTTTTGTTTATACTCATAACATTTTTGTATTATCTTCAGTATTTATTTATTTATTTATTTTTTCTTTGATAATAAAGTTTGACTTTCTATCTTTTAATATTATGTATTTTTTCAATGCCTTTTAGAGTATTAGTATTTTTTGTAATTATTATTTATTTTATTAATATTTATATTTTTTTTTATTTAAGTTTTTTTTATGAAATATCCAGCTGTTTGCAGTAATGAATACGTAGCAGAGGTAAAGATACTTTTATATTTTTCAAAAATTATTAATATTAAAATTTTGTTTTGCCCAAAGTAATACCATACGATAAAAAAATGGCGTCAAAGAAAGCGGGGAATGACAATCGGTACTAATTTCGGCGAGGTCAAGCCTACACGTTATTTCCTTGGTCCGTATTCTTCTTCATTCTTTAATAGTGCTTACTACCAGCTGGTCTTAAGAGCGTTGGAATTTATTTTTATATTGAATAAAAACGATTTTTAAATGGTGTAGTTTAAAAAGCAAACCCTTTTTTTTTGGAAATAGATTTGTCTGCCTGGAAACGTTATATCCTTTTTTAATGTTTCTATTATTAGTGTTATTTTTTAACAAGTTTTATGTCAGTTTTTAGTAATTGAGGTATAGAGATCGACTTTGTCAAATTTATCATCGATTGTCATTCTCCAGCCGTCTTAGACGCCGTTTTTTTTCTGATCATACCGCATTTATTTTGAACGGAAAATATCATTGACTTTTCCATTTTATTCTTGACGAAGAAGATAATATGATCAGAAGAAAACATAAGGCAAGAACAAAAATATGTGTACAGGATGTCCCACTAAGAATTGCTCTCGGCTGTATCTCAGAAAGTATTAGCCGTAGCGGCTGCAGAAAAAAATATTATTTAATAATATATTTTAATAATTATTTTGAAATTTGTAGAATGACCGCTAGGGGGCGCAACTGCAACAAAAAATAAGAAAATGGAGTTTTTACACAATTTTGCCTAGATACGGCTAATACTTTCCGAGATACAGCCGAGAGCTATTCTTAGTGGGATACCCGGTACATACCTACAAGTGTATTGCAAAGAGATGCCAAAGAAGAATGTTACCAGACTTCATCAGCATTTAATAAGAAAAATGTGAATCGGTTTTTCTATTAAACTGGTAACGAAGAAATATTTACACTATCAATACATGCCGATACAAGTCCAATCTCGGCCAAACAAAATTTCTTTGAGATTGATCACGGGAATGGAGCCAAACTTGACCATATTTTACCAGACTTTAATCGAACTGTGAACGAATCATGATCAGCATTGTGGTGTGAATCAGTTCTTAAAGAACTTTATACACTCCCAATCAATGTAATCAAACTTTCCTATAATGTTGAATTCATGTTCCTTGTAGTACAGGATCCGGCTGCATGATTATTAAGCTCATCGTATTTTTAATCAAAATCTAATTTTTACCGTATATTTGTGAATAGAAGAATATATACTTTTCACAGGGTGCCTATCAAAAACTTGCCGCAACTAGGGGTTGCCATATTTAAGTTTTTCCTACAAGCCCAACAAAGAATTTTGTATAAATGCCAAACTAAAGTATATACTAAGATGTATTTCAAAAAATATTTTAACTTCTACAGCGTGGCGTACTTTAAATATTCATGATTTTTTTTTAATTCTCCATCTAACAAAGGAATAATATACAGGGTATTCCATTTAAAAAAATCATCCGGAACCACTCATAATTTTTGAGCCACCCTGTAGAAGTTAAAATATTTTCATGAAATACATCCTAACATATACTTTGGGTTGGCACTTATACAAAATTTCTAATTTTTTATTACAGGAGCAATAGATGCCCGACGCATTGTTGCCGGGTTCGTAGGAAAAACTTTGAAACTTGGCAACACCTAGTTGCGGCAGGTTTTTGATAGGCACCCTGTGAAGAGCGTATTCTCCTATTCATAAATATACGTAAAAATTATGTTTGGATTAAAAAATACGATGAGCGTAATATTTAAGATACTCAAAGGATATATTAGGATACTCAAGAAAAATCAAAGAATTTCCTTGATTTAAGTAAGATCATTGTTCGAATCAACTCCTCAGTGAACACCTTAATAGATTGAAATAAAGAAATAACGGCGAATGCAGATTCTGTGGGTAAAATGGAGAAACATGGAAAAATGGAGAAACAATGGTCTTGAGATTGTGATATGATTAGTTATAACCCAAGAAGAGTGGACACAATAAATCAAGAAGCTCCTAGTAATTAACTTCCTTTCTCTCATACAATTTACAATCTTCAACATATAATGAGGCTCTTATTTAAATGATACGAACGATATAACACGTTGAGGGGGGAAATAAAAATAACAGTTGTGGTTTTCTGGCGCCATTGTAGCCTTAAATAGCCATAAAAACATATTGTTTCAGCGCTAACATATCCCTGAAGGAATTCGCCAATATTCGTTTACCCACCCAATTTCAATACCGACGATCTGTAAACGTTCCAGATGCTAAAACACTCTCTTCTCTTCTCTCTCACTCTCTCCCACATTACCGTTTTTTTCTCTTTTTTATTCGCTTGTAGCGCCCGAGCTTCTGGTTCTACATCAGAAACCAATATGTATGGAAATGGGCGAGCGATTTAAAACTGGAAAAGTAACAGTTTTCCCCACTATCTAAACGTTTGTGTAAGATGTGCTTCGGATCGCATGCAACGCGGGCATAATCCTAAAACCTGATGGGAAACGGGGTCGATCTCGGTCGAACGATTTTAATCTTTTACGGTAGAGGTCAGACGACCGTAAATTTTAGTGTTGAGATTGTGGAAAAAGGTTGTGTAAGAAGTGCTGGTAAAAATTATGAAATTAATAGTAGTTATATGTTAGTAGATTTTATTACTTATAGATAGATCTATTGTGTCCCTTTGTAACGTTTTTAGTTCGTTACATGTCTTTTTTATATATAATATATGATGTCTGGGCCTATCATCACCGGATTCCCTCTCGTTCAGGCCGGATAGTTTATTTGACGCGTAATTTTTACGTTCCCTAGTCACCAACCCTGTTATTGTTCGACACAACCCTGTTATCGCTCTGAGGAGGCGCTGTCAACATCGCTTCTGTCAACTCTCCGTGCTTAACCTCACTTTGTTTTGACGCTCTGTTGTATCCCAGCTTTTAGAAATGGTTATTATTTAAATCTTGCTGTATAATCTGGATCAGCTGCTATTTCAAAGCAACAGGTAAAGATGAAATATTATCCTTTTAGATTCGATATTATTATTGAATATTTTTAGGGTAGAGTTACGGATGTCCCAACTTGTATTTGTGTTTTGCTGGCACGTTGGCGTCCCTTTTCTTTTATCCTCCAGAATGTCACATGGAAGAAAGGACATGTTGTTTATTATTTATTGAGCCCTCGGAAGTATTTCGAGGTAGGTTTATTTTGTTTATTAGACCTTGTTTGGTTTTAAACCAGAGTTTCATATTTTTAGGGTCCAAGGTACGGACTGTGTCCAAGGTACGGACTGTATCCAAGGTACGGACTGTGTCCAAGGTACGGACTGTGTCCAAGGTACGGGTAGTGTCTTATGTACGGACATTATCTTATGTACGGATGTCCTGTGGACGAGTGTCCCCAGTAAGAATAATTTTTTCTTACATATAAGTGCCACAGCGTGGATGTAGCTTGAGTCCCATGCTGCTTCGTTCCCAGCTATAAGCTAGTTAGTTATGGCTGTATAAATTCATGGTGTCCTCATTCTGGCCCCTTTGGTTGTGTTGGATGGCTGAGTACAGAGATGCGAGACCACCTCACACTGCTACTGTTTGAAGCAAGATTACATAAAGAACAGCTAAGTGTAGATTTACGTTCTAGTTTTTATGTTTTAGATTTTCTATATTTTCAGTCTTAAACAGTAACGTACATTTTAAATAATATCGTACAGACTATATTTAGTGGTTAGATTATTAAGAACATTTATGTCAATTCAGTAGTTACAATGTGATTTAGATTTTAGGTTTCATTATATTACGCCTTGTTATAGTATTACTTTCTACAGATATTATTATTGCGCTATATTAACAGATGAATAACGAGACATAGATTCTAGAATCTACAGGTTGCAACATATCAGATTTAACACCGCATAAAATTTAACAATTTAAATAAAGTAATGCTACTTTTCTTATATTTTCTATAACGTTACACGCATTGTATTTTTTCATAGTCTTTTCATAGAACATATTTAATATTATTTACATACATAGTTTTACTCGACAAATAACCACTATAATAATTATTAAAATTGTACAATGCTATTTACTATCAGAATTCATCATGAATAAATATAGTTATTAGTTTTAGGTAATATACAACTGTGTTTTCTTTCTCTGTACATGCCTGGCGCCCAATATCTATTTTTTTGTTTATTGTTATTAATTAGTTTTCTTTCCAGTGAAATACCTTATCCACGACTGCTCTCCGATGAAAAGCTGCCGTTCGCAGTGGTAGTTGTTTAAAAAACGCTACACCTTTTTCTTGAGTTATAACTTATTATACAGTCTCAGGACTTTGACAAAATCCAGTACCTAAGACGTTTTCACAGAGGTTAGTTCTCCATCTCCGATATCAGTCATACCAAAGCTTATGGCATGAATACTTGTCGTCGCGGTGATGAGGTGTTCCACTGTTTCCCCATTTTACCTACAGAATCTGCATCCGCCGTTTTTTCTTAGCTTCAATTTACTGAGGTGTTCATTGAGGAGACAGTGTCCTGTTAAAAATCCCGTGACAGTCCGAAGATTGTTCCTACTTAAATCAAGGAACAACGTTGATGTTTCTCGGTCGAATGATCTTCCAGGTTCTTGAGTTCCGTTCTAAGTTGGTCTCCACTTAGGAAGCAGAAAGGTTCTATACCAGTTAGGGGGGAGCGTTCGCCCTTTTTCTAGCTAGATCGTTTGGTTTTTTATATTATCTTCTATCCCTTGGTGGGCTTGC